CGTCTCGATTATCTTAGTCATATTCACGTATATATAATACTGGCAAGAAAAACCAATTCCACTAAAATGCTATTTTTTTATAGATAAAAATACTATTTTAGTGGATGAATAGTATGGATTCTTTGTCAAATACTTTTTTCAAAGAATAACTATTGCCAAATATTTTGCAACCTATCTAAATCTATAAGTTTCATAGTCCAAAAAAAATAATATATATATATATATTTTTTTTTGAAACCTTAAAAATCAAATCACCTGTCAATATCACAATAAAAAAAATACATAGTTTTCTTTCATTTTTTGAAGAAGTATTTTTCTAAAAATATTACTGAAGTTAAATCATATAATATATATACACAATAGTGTGTGTTTTTAATTTTTCGAAACGATTGTAAAATCTATATTTGATAGCTTTCATATTAATTGCTATCATTAAAAAATGAAAACAAAAAAAATAATAGTTTTATTTATGTCGACAAATGTATTAATTTTTAAACAAATAATATTTGGACAATTTTTAAATATAACATAGCTGTAAAAAAGCTTAATAGAAGGCTTAACAATTTTTATTTTTATGACGAAATATTAGGCAGACATCTAAAATATATATATTTCTAATCAATTCATGGTTATGACGCAGCTTTATAAAAAGTTCGAAAGTGTTATAGAGAAAATATTGACTGAATATATTTATAGTAGATTTAATTTTAGCCAGGGTGAGATCTTTGATAGTTTTATTGGTTGTCTGAATTAACTTAACGTTTAGTCATTGTCATTCTGAAGATCCATAGTAGTTTACAATACACAGGTAGTGACGTTGTGTTTGTGTAGGTACTTACAACATTTCTAAGACGCGTAGAACGATTAATAGAGGACACGAACGCATATATTATTGTTCCTCCATATTCATGTAAGTACGGGTATCCATAATATTCACATTATATTACTATATTTATTTCAATTGCATACGGTGCGAGGTAGGATTGTAATTAATTTTTAAAAATGTGTTGTTAATTACCCATCGTTAATTAATGTTTATTAGTATGAAGAAATATGTAAATTAAAACTTCGTTTAATAAAACAAATAACTATATAAAATTAAACGTTAATTTAAATTTATAAATTAACATTGATTAATTTGTACAACAGTAATTTTTGTGTTTAATTTTTGCATAGTTTACTTTAATACTTACAATTATTTTTAAGAGTAACAAAAAAATATCTTAGCTACAATTGAATTAATAATAATAATTACAATACCAATTATAGTTTACCTTCTCTTCCTGATCCTAAATAAGTAGCTATTTCAATTATATTTATACGTAGTGTATTTTATATTTTCAATAAGCAATCTCATGAAAATATTTGGACCATATAACGTATATAAGTCAGCGATTCAACAGTGTACTACATTTTTTTTTTTTATTATTTATGTGCCATAATAATAATATAAATAATAATACTCTTGAAATATATAGTATTACTAACTCAGCTCATTCAAAATACAAATTTAAACGTTGGGCGGTCGCCAATAGAGATGACTGATATGATTTACTGGCAGTGGTGTCGCCAAAAACCGCACTGAACAAACGAAAATACATTCGAAAACTCACAAATTTCGTTTAATATTCTCAATATTTTACAACCCTACCAAAAGTACTGGAAAATAATTTTGGAGCACACACTTGTAAACGTCTAAGAAGAGAGGAGGAGCCTGTATAATATTCTTAAAAACATAAATATAAAATAAAGTGTTGAACAATTTTGAAAAATGTTGTCCTGACTTTAGGATTTAAATTTATAATAAATTAATAAGTATTATAAAGATCTAAAAACTTTAATTTGATTTTTAAGGAATAAACTATATTTGTTGATGTATTTGAAGATAATAATATATGCGTTTGAAATTTGTATGGAAACTTATTACTATCACTTAACCTAAAAGCATAATGCGATGTAATAATATGTAGGTATGATTTATTAATAATATGTTTTTTATAAGAAATAATGCAATTAATACTACAGTGTAATTCAAATTCAAATTTTAAATGACTTCATATCTTCAAACTTGCATATTAAATATGTACCTAGTACCTCCTTACGTATAAAAATCAACATTTTAAAATGTTAAAAATATTAAATCTCAAATAAAGTGAATAATGTAAATATAACAATAACAATAATAATTATTGATGTAATATCATTTAATCGAAATAAATAGTATAAACTATACAAAATACATTAAAAAATTATTAACTAATAGCTATTACCTATTTTAGTAATTATGTATAATATTGATAAAGGTAATTATTAATCGAAGTTGTTTGATTGTTATTAACATGTAAACAAACAATTTTTCTTTGAAACTTTCTCGTGACAATAATTCCGAGTCATTTAAATTTTATAATATGTCAGTAACCTAACATAAAGTTTTTAGTTTTACTTTTTATACTGAAACTTTTTTGAAATATTAAAAACGTAATGTTCAAACTTTATTTTTCATTATTCTAAACGTTACCGGCTCGAAAAACACTTGAATATTGCAAACTAATATATTATACAGTAGAATGAAGAGAATTATGTTTGTATTCAATGTTTTTTGATTTCAGCTGGTTATTTGAAATAAAACTGGACTTATTATTATTTATCATCAACGGATACCTAAACATAATATATTTGAGTTGATTGATTTAATTACTCGTTATTAGGTAATATGATACCTAATATATTTCATGTCTTATACATATATGATAGAAGTAAAAATCTAAACAATTACAGTGAATTACACGATGTACGTTTCGAGATATTGGACGATATAATAATATTATAACATATTGTATTGGTAACTTATATTTAGTATGCATTTATTTGAAAATTTGAACTTAATAAAATAAAGTTTTATTTCAATTGTACTTGTCTTGGATGTTAATTTGTCATTTTTATCATTCAATATATCCAAGGTAAAATATAATCATATAATAATATTTTTAACATTTTTTTTTTTATAACGGGAATATTTACAAGACGTATACATAAAAAAATTTAAGGAATTTTTTTCATTGACTATTGATAAAATTTAAATATTTAAGAATGTTTTTTAAATCAATTATAGGTTGTAAGTAGGTTTTATAATTATTAGTTAAAAATGATCCAGTTGAGAGCATATAATAATGTTTAAAGTTAAATTTTTAATAGTTGTTGATATATTTAAAATGTTTTGATTTTATGTGAACCGCTTAAAAATGCACAAAGTTAATCTAAAAGTTTGAACTTACAAATATTTATGATCAGAGAAGTAAATATTAAAAATGTAATAAAGAGTATTAAAAAATAAGTATGAGCCCTGTAGTTTTGATCCAGTGAAGATTCGTGTATTTAATCTGTTTTTTATTATTCACTAGATAAATATTATTTTAGTACATTAAATATAGTCTATATTATTATTTTGATTCTGAATAGAAATAAAATAATAAAATATTATTTTATAATTTTCAAACATTTAAGTAAGTATTTTTTAAATATTTTTTATAACTTTTGGTAGATGCTTAACTATAAAGCTATTTGTTTGAAAGTAGAATATTGAAGGGTATCATACAACTTGACCGTTGTTGTAAATAAAACTTTTCGTGCGTATTATGTTGAATATGTAATTTTAATCCTCATATCCTGTTTACAGTTTGGATATTGATACAAAACTATAGAATACATATACCGTCTACCGTAAGGGATATACTATTATTATAGTATGTATATGTCAAACAGCAACATGTCTGGACGTTTGATAATACAGATACCTATTCAATAATATTATTGGTTTGGTCTAAAAATACAATATTGAAGGATAATCTTATGTTCTAGAGCTCATTTGTTATTATAATTATTTGCCAAAATATCAGAGTGGGAGTGGTAAGTAAAACTAATAATTTTTTTTACTAAGAAAAAAAAAATGTCAATTTATTCGTGTCTATTTTAGATTTAACTAAAAATATTGTTCTAATATAAAATGTAATACTTTATAATGGCATATAGTTATATATTATGTTTTTTTACATCAAAATTCATGGAAATTCTCTAAATTTTTATTAATTGTAGTGTGAAAATAAAACATTTAAAATTAAACGAAACATAATAATATGTGAATAATTGTGTGATAACATATTTATTATTTATTGTGAAGTTTGTTTAGTCAGCTATAAAAATTATAGTACATTAAATATTTAGAATATTATTGTTATACATATTTCACAATTTTAATTAAGTTATAATCCTATTTAATTATATAAATATATTAAACGTCATAAACAATTCAGAATAATTTGTATGACTAGTTGTTTTAGGGAGTCTGTCGGAAGCATATGATTGTGGATTTGTGACCTTTAAAATTAAAAAACAATGTTAAATTAAAACATGGAGTTTCTACAGATTTATCACACGAAGTTAAATATTACTGGATATATTTTTATTAAAATAGTATCGACCAAAGAACAAGATTATTAATGAAAATCGATTTTGAGTGAAACTCGAACAATTTCTTATTGAAATTTCAACGATTTTTCTTTTGAGCACGCTGTATACCTGTCGGTTTAAATTTCACGTAAAAAATCATTTTTCTATATACATTCCACGAAGTTAAATTTTGATTGCATTTTAATATATTTTATTTCAATTTGAAAGAAGCTACGTTTTACATATTATTTATTGTACTTATTGAAATATTTAAGTACACATTACATTTGTCGTTTAAACGTTTTTATAAATATATTATATCAGAATTTAAATTTCAGATTTATAACTAAAACTTTAGACTACAATTATTATCAATACATAATATAAAAAATATTGTGGGTAGGTAATCAACGAGGAAAAAAAATTGTTCGGATTCCACAATAATTGAAAAAAAACGGATGTAAATGTATTGAACGTCGTTACCTAATTGGTTGGAAACGATTTATACGAACACGTCGACACATATACAGAGCGATTCATTTAACTATGTTTCTATAAGCATAGTAAAATAAAAAGCAATGGGCATCCATCAAAAGTTGTGGCTCACTATTTTGACCATTGTAACTTTCAAAGCTCGTTTCTACAAAAACGTTATTTGTTAATTTTATATTCGATATTATACATTTTATGAAAAGTGATTACGGATATTTGAGTGGCTAATTCAGAAATGGAACATTTTGTACAATTATATGTTTGTATGTGTGTGTGTATGTGTGTATGTATGTATATATAGCGACAAATCCTCTGCAAGTTGCCAAGGGGACAAATACCGGGTGATCCATTTAATATAAGCTACTCATTATTTCGAAAACTATTAAAGTTTTTAAAAATGCTTATTTTACATAGTTTTATGTCATTTGAAAATATTACTTTTCTAAAAAAAAAATACATGTTTACTATTTTGCTTCATTATAATTTTTTATTCTTTTGAACGAATGCATATACATTTTTAATCCCATAATCTGAAGTAAGATAATTTTTCAAGTACTTTGATGTATAAAAATCGAATGATAAGTAGTTTGTTAGTTATATTATACGTTTTAATTTAGATGAGTCAAGTGGTACATGGGTACTTTGCAAAATATTGGTCCAATACTCCGCATGTCTTAAAATACCTGTAACTTATAAACTAATTGTCCGAAATTGTATTTTTACAGATAAAAAATATTCTGGATAATATTTTGCTTTGGACTGTGAAATTAAAAACGTATGCAGTTATTCAAAAGAGTAAAAAGTCGAAAAGAAAAAGAAAACCACGACGATAAAAAATAGTAAAATAAATATTTTCAAAAACGCTAGTGTTTTCTGGAATGACGAGAGTGTGTTACGTTAAACAGATCATCCCGTATAGTTCGAGACTAAGATATAAATAATAATATGATATACCTCAACGAATTTATCATTTCGGAAACTATAACAAACTAGCTAATTTATGAACGGGAAAAAAAAAAAAAATTAAAAAAACGTACGAGCAAATGATTACGAAATTTAGATAATATTATTATTGTGTTTGTAGTGATTACATTTTATATGTCATGTGTGCGCGTGTGCATATAGTGCGTGTTGATATTATAATATTTCGTATACGCCGTACAACCGTATATAGACTTATCGACTAACACTTTGTACGACATACCGCGTAATACCTGATCGAAGATTATTTTGCAACATGGTTCGCAGAGGAAAGACAGGATAGATGACCGGGAAGAGGTCGAGAATAATTTCGGACGCTTTACCCTTGAGCCCGCGAACGCGATCCAATAGAATGCGCCGCTGTCCCACGTGACTGGCAGCGCGTACGACGTGGTCTGAAAAGCTTGAGGCCTGCAACCCTGGAAAATCCAGTAGAAAATCGACTCTTCGCCGTACGTACCGATATACGCGCGACGCTTATTGCAGCGGTGTGATGTATCTGTGGTCCGTTTGTACGACGTTATAAAGGTACGCGTTTCCGTTTTACCCGTTTGTAAAAATCGATTGTTATTCATTAAAATGACAAAATCGTTCGCCGTTTCGTCGTCGCAGTATACGAAATGTGTCAGTCGGTATTTTCGCTTTAGCAATCGTCGTTTCGTTAAAATATCGTCGTTCGAACTCGACTAATTTATTTGCCGAGCTCGTGTTAATATTTACTCTATCATAAAGTGTAAGATCTATAGTGAAAAGTAAGTAAACACGTATGACGAAATTACGACTTAATAGATTTTCTAGAAATATTTAATTGATAAGTGTCACGTGCTATGTTTATCGCGATGATAATACAATGTAGTCCAAGTGTGTTTTTCACCTAATTCGAAAGTATTAATTAAAGACGACATGTTTTAACAGTTAAATCGGTACGCGCTAAAAAAAAAATTTCTTGACTTGTAACTGAAAGTTTAATGTGATTTTTAATATTGATGTTATTTGTTGTACGATTGGTTTTCTATCATCGCATTTATCACGTTTGAAACACTGTAAAACATGGTATAATAAAGTCTCTATTTTGTGTGATAACCAAGTGACGATCGCAATCAAGAGTAATAGCTAATTATAGATGTTATTTTTAATGTATTAGCTGTTTTCGACTAATTATCTATATACTCATTATACGTTTAAACGTTTTTGTAGTTCTTATAATTTTTCTATTTCATATATTTTTGATTATTTTTTTTGAAACTTTAGCCAAATCAAGTTTATATTTTTATTCATACTTTAATTTGATTAGTATGAAAAACACATATTTATTTAAGTACTTTTCAATAAAATTTATCTTACATTTTAGTGTGTATTAATTATGTAAATATATTTTAAAAATTTTTAAATCGTTTATGCTACCACCAATTGAATATAAAAATATATTTATTAATAATGGAATCGCATTAAATATTTACAAAGAGAAATAATAATACCAATAATCGTCTACACATTTTTATACTAAGTCAATCGCTCATATTTAACTTTAAAATTATTAAATACTACTGATTATAAATCAATTTTTTTTAATATTCGTATTATGTATATTTATATTTATTATTATGTTTATTTATCTTTTATAAAAATGTTGCATTATTTCTATTCAGTAGAGAAATATAGAATGACATATTTCTTAAAATCCCAGGTGGTTTCACTTTCAAAGTCTAGACATATTATTTAATACAAGTAATTTTAATTTGATATATAGATAAAGAAATTTTCATGTCGTGTTGGTCTTGATTTTAGTCTGTAATGTTATTTTATATTTGTTTATAACGTTGAGCATTATATATATGTATTTATACCTAAAGTATTTCGTCTTCAAAAATTCGGGTTTTTCTTATTCCTGTGATAAATAATTCAACCATTATATTTTAAAAAACAAATGACGTCGAAATTAAGTGACATTCAAACTTATTTTAGTGATTATTATTATTAATTATCATTGCGCATGAAAGTTGTAAGTGATAGCTGACGTGTAAGATAATAGATAAAATATAGTAAGTAATTGAAAGTTTACACGAAAATATAAACAAATATTATAATTTCATGCATGGCATTGTTTTTAGAATCTTTTCATATATTATGTACATTCCGTGAATTCAATTCATATTTTTTTTTACGGTTTAAGAACATTAAAACAATTATTATTGTTTGCCACAGGGAACAAAGCACTACGAATCTCGATGCAATTATATAATACTTATAACAATCGGTTATGCAAAAATTGTTCAAAAATCGATTTCTCCTAAAATATATTTTATAATTACTACAACGTGTAACGCATGTGCGACTAGTGTTGATATCGTATTATTAACCGCACCGAGGACGTTAAGAAATCATGTTTTATTCGATTTTCCACCGACTGTTCTATACGATAATATTATTACTGCTATCGTATTCTGTTTCTATTATGTTTGAGGCGTCATCGCGGGCACCACGTCTATACACAAAACCCACCGACTGTTTATTTAGCACAGTGGCTTTAGATGATTTATAAAAGCGTGTGCCCAGGGCAACGAAATTCAGAGACGGCGTCTGTTAAAACAAAATATTAACAATATGATTTGCGCGTCGAATGGTTTCATGAGAGCACGACGATATATGGTCGTTAAACGTAGTAGGACGAGTGGGAGGGCGTGCCAAAATAAAATATCCCTCGTTTTCAAATAAAAGTTCAATACGTCGCCGTAATTTTTGTGGTTATATTGCATTGTCTTTTTATGATTTCAATCAGTATTTACGGTATTCATATTAAACCGATTTCGCTCATTATAACAGTAGTAATTATATCTTCAGTTGGGCCAGGACTTTTATAATCTAAAAAAATATAAGGGACAATATCATTATAAATTATTAGTTATTACATAATAAATGACTAAAAAACAATTCGAAAAACATTATTAATATCAACATAATATTATGTTTGTATGGTAAATTATAAAATGGTGGAAAAATCGATATTTATAAACTAAAATATAGTCGTCATAATTGTTATAAATGTACTGAATACATTAGAGAATTGAATTAAAACACGCCCAATTTTTATCGGTTTCAAATCTTATAATAAATGTCAGTTTATTCAAATTATATTAAGGTTCTTATTTTAACTACTTATATTTTATTTTTGTATCATCACATTTAATGTATACATTTTACGAGCTTATATAGTACATGAAAAATAATATTGTGATTTTTTCACATAGCATAAAAAAAAAAAGATAAAAACAAAATTAAATGTTGTTTTAAGCAGTAAAAACATATTGTTAACTAAGACACCAGTGTATAGGAAAAACAACATCGTAGCACTGAATAATGACTAGACATTAGACAAATATTTAATATATTTTAAAATAAATACCTAAAGTGAAGTAGTATGATTATTTTTAAAATTTTAACTTCGCAATAAATTGGTTTTTAATATTTTTCGTCGGCATTTAGACCTCAGATCCTCAGATGTATAAGCAGCTTACATGCACAATTAACTTTACACGTATATATTATTCATTAATGATTGTCATGACCTTTGAAATAATATTAGATTTCAATGAATGATGCTATTGTCAAACCGTGAAATGGGGGTACCTTCTATTTAAAGTCATTGGCTATTGATGAGAAATACGTATAATCAAGATATAAACCATAATATTATAATATTGATAAATATTGTACTATAATATTATATTGTTATAACTCCATTTCAAAATATACTTTCATTACAGATTTACTAAATGTTTTTATTAAAATAGGTATATATTATTATACTACGTTTATTTCTATTTATTATGTCATAAAACATTGTATACTCTATTATTATGATAATTTCTAGTTTAAATAAATTTGTGAAAAAAAATAAAATATTTTAAGTTAAGAATGAAGAAGTGAAGAGGAGTAAAAATGTCTTTTAAGTTTTAATACAAGTTAAAAATAAAAAAGTAATTTAATATTCTTTAAAATAATATAGTAGTTACAAAGAATGGTCGTGGTATCAGATTTATAAAATTATATCCTATATAATTATTATGTAATATATGTGTTATATTCACGTATACAGAGTGAATCTCAGTTTTCTTAGATTAGACATAATCGTTACAGTATAATGTACAATGTATATTTAAAAATATTTAAACACTTCATATCATTTTTATACTAGTTAAACATAGCGTATACCACTAATCAGTAATCAATCACTTGAATTAAACCTGTTAAGTTTTAATTATATTAAGACGATAATTATTTGTGTTTATTAAAAGTTAGCGAAACGATACGTACCCCACTCATAGAAAACAACAAGAATTTTATAATCTTATTCCATTGACAGTTTGTAGCTTACATCGAGTTTCATTAAGGAAAAAAAAAATGTTTTAAATTACTAATAAGTAGATATTTATTAATTGTATATTAGAGTAAATAAAATAATGAATTATATATTATGCATTGTAATTTATAAGAAATCATATTATGTAATTGTATTAGTAGTATTTAGTACACTCTATACTGGATAATAGTAATGATTAGAAGAAAAAAAAATTAATTGTCATAAAATAAACGTTGCCTATGTCGACTTTTAAAGCGTAGTTGGACTATAAATTATAATATTAAGTACGCGTAAAGCTTATAACATTTTTATCAGTATAGTTGTCTTATGCTTTATTAAATATACACATACAAGTGTCATGAAAATATAGTAGATATATTAAGATATTTTTAATAATAATAATTTATTGGACACATAAATAATTTAACCTATATGTACTTATAGTATTAAATAAGTAATGAAAAACATTTAAAGTTTCTAGTTGTAACCAAAAATCTTATAGATACCCATTCATAGAAGATATTTTAGTTGATTTTAAATAAAAATTGTTTTTTTTTATTTGAATTTGGTTGTTATTAATCAGCATCATATGTTTTTTTTTCAGATGGATCAAGATGATAATCAAAAATCAGATAATAATAATAAACGCCGTCAGTCTTTAAGTATTGACAAAGCTGCGTTCCTATTACTCCGAATTAAGCGGGTGTTCAAAAAAAGAAGTCAAAGTCAACAAATTGAAAAAAGGTTTTTTTTAGACAATTTCTAATAATATTTAAGTATTATGTTATATACATTATTAGTATATTAAAAATTATTGAAAAGGATATTGAACAAAATATTCTAATGTTTAAGTTAAGACTATTTGGTAAAATTCTGTTTCTTTTTACGCCAATCTGCTCTTTTACATACCTACATAAATTATTAAATAATACATAAAGGTAGTTATAAAATTGTATAAAATAAATGATATAGATTACACAATTGAACTACATTGAAATAAAACTACAGAAATTAAGATCAAATATCTAAATATCTATTGATATTTAAATAACACATTATTTAAATTAAGGGATCATTCATTAAAAAATTAGAATAAGTAGTTCAGATATAGAAGGATTTACAGATCTAGTGTGAACCATTGGAATTCGAAAGCGTATACACTTGATCAGCTAAGGTTAATTAAAAATATTAATAGTTTTTTCAAACGTCTAAAATGATATTATTAAAATATC